CCTTCCTGTGGCTGCTCCCACCCAACTGGCAGGGAGGGACTTGCATGCGGCCTGCTGCGCTCTACCCTCTTAGGCCCATGGGCCCATGGCCTCTCCTCCATACGGGAACCCCCCACCTGGCCAGGGGCCAGCTGAGATTCCCCCACCCCGCTGGCAGCGAGGGAGGCTCCCCCACGGTAGGATGTCGCCTGCACCCCCCGTCCGCAAGGGGGCGCGACTTTATTGACATTGGGGGTAGGAATGAGATCGCCTCGCCCCCGCCCGTCGGGGGAAATGGGCCCATGGCTGTGTCAGAGCCTTGGTCCTGGGGCCGGGCCTGGCCAACCTGTGAGGCCCCTTCCCGTTCTGGTGTCCTAGGATTCTCTCTACACGTACCCCCCCACGCCCGGGCTGTGCTCTGCAGGGCGCCCTGCCCGCTCAACTTTGTGCTTCTCTCTCCCGCAGTGTTTTACCCCTTCTTCTTGATCCAGGACATGGTGACGGGCGACTCGGGGCCCTTCACAGGACGGTGCGACTCAGGCAAAGCTGCCGCCTTGGCCCCAGCATCACCCCGCCCTGGGTGACCAGGGCCACTTCTTGGGCTGGCCCAGTGCCCTGGGGAAGCGTGGCCCTCACCAGCGCTAGGGCAGGTGCACCAAGGGGGAGGGGATCGAACCCAGCACCTTCAGCTCTGGGAACAGCCCGCCAGCAGCAGGCCGAGGTTGTTGAGCCACCAGGGGTGACAGACACCAGCCCCAGCTGCAGGGATGTGGGGGCGCTGCCCGGGTTCACCAGCTGCCTGCCCTGGCCGCGGGGTTGTAGCCACAAGCGGGGAGGGCTGGGCTGTTTGGGCTGCGAGGGGGTTTCCAAGCGCTGGTTCTCACGGCAGCCTGTTCTTGGCTCCGAGGGTAGCTACACGCTGAAGGTCATTGGTGGGGGCCCGTACTCCGAGAGCCAGATCCAGTTGTACAGCCCGGGCGAAATCCTCAACTATAACACGGAAAACAGCAGGTAGGACCCAGGCGCCGGCTGGCGGCCCGCCCCCGGGGCTGGGACAGGCGGTGGGCGGGGGAAGGGGTATTTACTTCTGCCCCGACCTGGCCCCGCTCGCCCAGCGAAAGCAGCAGGCGGCAGGTGGCTGGCCCGCGGAAGGGAGGGCCGCTTCCCCCCCATGGTCAGCCCGGCTGCCCCGCCTGGCTTCTCCTGCCTCCCCGGGAGCTGGGGCTGCCACCGTGGGGTGGGGGCTGCGCGGCAGAAGAGGCAGCCTTCTGAGGATGCAGCTCGCGGGGCAAGGCAGCTCCACATAGGGGCGCCACCAGCACCCCCTCGCTGGAGCGCGCCCTTCCATCCATCGCACTCCTGGCCGGAGGAGGCGGCCCCCGGGCTGTCCGACCCATGGCAATGGGCTGAGCGGCGCTTCCCCCCCAGCACGCTGCTGAGTCTGATCTGGAGGAGGGCCGATCGCACCAGACGCCCCCCCACCGACCCCAAGGGCTTCACTATCTTCTCCAGCAGGAAGAGTGGGATCAAGTAAGGCCGTCTCGTTGGGGGCCACCCCTCGCGCCATGGCCCGCCAGGGGAGCCTGCCTCACGCCCGCGTCTGCCCTGTGTGTGGGGGGCACGGTGCCGGGGGGG